TTATTCCATCTACCGGCGCGTCGTATCTAGTCCATATGAGCATCTCCAGAGTAAGTTGGCCAAGCTGCACGGAGCGAGGTATATCAAGAGGGAAACACTATATAAATCGAAAGCTGTTGACTTACTTGTCCTTCTGACACTCCATCCATGTCGGCGTTTTGTGCCGCAGCAACGCGAGGCGCATGCGAGACCTTAGAAGTTTTGATTCCACAGGCGGCATACAACCTCGACGTCCACGAATTTGCCGTCTGCGCTGAGAGCTCCTTCGTCGCTTCCTTTGCAGACCGGCGCAAGACCTTAATGTCGTACCAGTGCTCGCTACGCTGAAAAGTAGGAAACGGCTCTGCCCGCTCGACTTGCCAACGCCAAAAGAAATAAAACGCGATCGCGCTAACAAGACAACAGCGGACATCGCGGTGCCGTAGGGCGGCGCCGTACTCCATCCGGCCGTGTTGGTTCGTCTTGCCCTGGTTCATGACGACGACGAGGGCGTACGTTGGGAATTCCCTTGATTTCTGGCCCTCGTTGGGGAGCTCTAAACGGAAGCAGTCCGGGAGCTCCATTGGCCGGCGGTTGCTCTGGCGGAGGAGCATGTGATTGCCAAACAGAAAGTCGACCTGCGTCCGGAGAAGGCACGAGATGTCGCTGCTATCCTCTCGCCATGCGGCCTCGTGGTGTTGAGGAAGTTGTGCCTTTGTATAGGCGTCTTTGATCGTTCCCTCGAGGCGGTCCGAGTACTCGGTGCGCTTGCGAGCCCAGACGACGGCGAGGATACTCTTTTTCAACGCTTTAAGGGCTATCCCTTGAGGACGGGGCGCCGGGTTGATGTGCCGGCTCTTCTGTTCGTCGTACAGCCTCTGTATCGCTGCGATGTAGGTGCGTACAGAGTTATAGGCGAGTTCGAGAGCCGGGGCGGCGATCAGGGGCTCGTTGTCGTCCTCCTCGAACTTGGTCGCTACCGCCGCATGCGCCGGAGTAGTGGCAACTTCAATGGTCTCGCCTGCTCAAAGGCTTAGCGGGGAGCACAGAGCTGGTTACCCAGCCAACCGGCTAGGGAGCGCTACTTTCATCACGCCGTTGCCGTTTGGCGGCGACAGCTTGTCCTACGGCCACAGCAGCGTCTCGGCGGCGTTTCCTCTGCTTCTCAAGGCGGTGCCCTTTCCGGGGGGCTCGGCTTACAACTTCCGTCTTCATAAAAAGGAGCAGCTTGCCTTCGTCGACAAGATCGCCGGGGAGCGGTCGCCCTAGCGGCCAGGTCGACTGTCTAACGGCCCAATCCTCAGGAATCGGGTCCCAATGCTTGAAGCACCAATCCTATCGTAGTATCAGAAATGGGATTAAGAGTCGTACCAGGAAGGGGACCAGCTGACCTTCCACTCTTGCTGTTTAGGCTTGTAGGTTTTGACTGTGTTTTGGGGCACCGTACCCTCCAGGTTTAGGAGATAATATTCCATTGCCTCGCGTATGCGAGCATCCTCAATTGCAGTGGCCGCCATAGTCATCGGGCGAGAAAGGAATGATTAGGGGTTTGTCCTAGGGTGGTAACCGTGGACAGCAGTGGTGTTTGAGTGCCGATGCTCTCTGCGCTGCGTAACGTTAGTTCTCGCCGTCGTCGCGTCTTTTGGAAGGTCTGCGCACGTAAAGTCTAGTCACGTGGCCTTCTACTTCGCCATTTCTTTCTGCGGGCCGCGCGCGTTTTGTATTGGGTTTTCCACGAGAAATCGAAGGCCCATCAAGGCAAATGACCTGCAAGCACGGAGCCGAATTTGGCGGGGAAAATGGAGGACCCGCCGGTTTTTGGCGGTCCGAAAACCTGGTTTTTGGTACGCTCGGACCTGTGATACCAACTGACATGACAGGCTTGAATTAAGATAAAATGGGATTCAAGTAACGTATCTTATAAGCTAATGACCCACCCCTTCCCGCCACCATAACAACTATCCTCAAATATACCGCAACAACACTAAGAACTAACTACAATTACATCGGAAGCAGGTTGTTGAACTGAATTGGCTCCTTGGCACCTGAATTCAGGGGCTGGGCACTGTTGCCCAATGCAGTAAGCGTGGAAGACTCGTCACCCACCCAAAAGCAGGGTCTGGCGAGGGTCCCGAAGCCCTCGGTTCTTTCAAGCAACACACACACATGACGCATGGTTCAGACAGCCAATTCAAGCTTCATCTTGTGCCTCGATTGATGCAGTGTCACCTGGTTGGTCTATGCCTATTCGAGCCTGTAACTGTTGCTGTTCAACAGCTGGGAAATGCGGGGTGCTCGGATACTTTTGACCCCACACTGTATCTACGGATCCGTAGACGATTTTGCCAAGCCTAAGGTATGGATCCTGCATGCTTGTCCGGTTCAATGCCGCCGTCTTACAACGTCGAAGTTGCGAGCTCGACACTTCCTGGTAAGCCGAACTCGTTGTTTGACAGCTGCCTACAGGACGCAGGACCTCACGCTAGTCATTTATCCGCTGCTGTGAAAAGGCACTGCAAGATACCTTAAGCCAATCCTGGCTATGCGTTATGCAACGTGTGACCAATGATTGTGATCGAATGATCTCGGCTGGAATCCGACTTCATGCCGTATCCAACAGCGCCAACACGCTCACAGAATTGGGGCCCAAGCAGGAATTTTCTGCAGAACCCCTATGAGATGGTTCCCAACCTAGGATAGAGCCTCGTAAAGTCTCCAGTCGAGTCTCTTGAAGTTTCACGGCTTTCTGGTGGCCCGCAAAGAGTTGGAGATGATCAGGTCAACTTGATATGAAAGCTTACGAGCTGTCAACCACTGTGTGGCCCCTTGGTGGCAAACCCGTATTATCCGTCATGAAGTTGGCACTAGAAGAACCGTCAATGTCGGTCAGCGGCGCAATGCAGAAGACTTGGTGCATGAGCTCGGATGGATATCCTATTATTGACTTGGCGAGTTTGCAGTCCGAGTTTGATTTTTGAATCGCTTCTGCATTTTCCACCAAATTCCTACACACCTTAGCCCTTTCGACTTAGAACCTCCTACACCAGTCACACCAAACGTTTGGCAGCGAACACCACCAGTACCCCTTTTGGTCAAGGCCATGGAATGCCAAGACACCATCGATAATAACGTATATACATGCTAAATACAGTAGTAGCTTAATAACTGATATCAACTAGGCAGCAAAGGATAAACGTTTGAACGACATATAATTATACCTATATAGCTAACGTGATTCACCATTGACTCGGACACCCCATTGAGTCGGACACATTTTCCGGACTATGCCACTACAA